ATCTAATAGCACACCCTAGAGGTTACCAACCCCACGTCCTTGGCAAGTCAGCCAAATCACATCATTCTCAAAGGTTTACAAGGGCAAATCTAGGCCAGTAAAGTGCGAGGGATCACAAAAAGCAAACTGTGGGGTTCCGCTGGGCGGTCTTTGCTGTGTAAGTTAATATCTCATTTCATCTCTGGTTCCGGCTTGGCTAGCTTTCAGAGCCCTGCTCTTTTTGGAGAGCACCAGATATGCTGAGCTTGGGCACCAGAAGAAACCGCAGAGCTCGGATGTTGTCTGAGCCATTTTCTGCAGCCAGCTGGCAGCCTGCCTTTTGCTCGCTTCACAAACTCATTCCCTTTTCAACTTTTCTATGCCTCTGCTCTGGTCTCAAGCACTCACACACACAACTCTTACCGAGCACATGCACTCCACCTGTGAGAAGACCCAAGTTAAACTCAGAGACAGAGACAGAGACAGAGAGCTGGCTAAAGGTAAGTCCTTTGGAAATACATGCAATTTAGGAGAAATTGTGAATTTATGCTTTTTCCTGGGTTATGGTATTACAGTAACATTGACCTTCTTCAATAAAATGTTATTAATTGCTACTATTAGTCCTGCCACCACCACTATTAGCTACCATTTGTTGGCCATAAGTTACTCTGGGTCAGGCAGTCAGGCGAGCCCAGGTCTCTATGTGCCTGCCATCACATCCTTTGCTTTGACTACTGTGTCTTGCTGGGCTGAGAGGCACTAGACATGATTACGCTTTATAGGTAACAGCAATGAAGCCTTTATAGTTTGAAATGTGGAGTCCCCTCATCAGTCAGGGTCCCAACGATGTCCGGTGGGACTCATTTCCTTAGCCTGTGGCCATACCTCCTTTTCCTTTTGATTCTCTGCCTGCAGTCAGGCTTCGAGGTAACCATTGCCTCTGAAGAAGTGAGGGGCCCACAGGAAGGACTTTAAGGGATCACATTTTCCTAACAGTTCAAATGCAAGCCTAACTACGTGAATGCGTTTCCGTTAGCTGGAAGGAGCTTGAAGAGAAACTGTGCTTGAAGGGAACAAGGAAGAAGGTGACACCAGTGCTCATGAGCGGCCTCTCTAAAGAGGCAGCACTAGGCCCTGGGCAGCAGAGGTGGCGTCCCCACGCACCTTCCACCTCAGCACCACGTTCCCATAGCTTTGAACCGTGTCGATGAATGCTTTCTGTGAATGTTCTTGTATGTCTTAGGTGTTTCTCGGTGTGACTGGGTAGGTTTCACTCAAAATATTTTCCCGTATAAATTATCATCCTCTACTTTCGGATGGTGTGGAAACCAAGTCAAGGAGAATTTAGAAGGGAAGGTGGAATAACAGGCTACTGAGCTAACGGTTAAGCTTCTACAGTGGACACAGATTGCTTTCTATATATTAATAATCCCAATAAGCACTATTTTTAAAAGTATAAAGAATTCCACACATTATGAGTCCTTAATATTTTCATTTCCAATTACCTAATGGATATTTATAATCTGGCTATAATGTAGAGGTTACACAGTGATGTTCGTGATTTTATTAACTAAAAACCAGAAATAAATTTCAGACCAGAAGTAAATCCTTTTAAGTCCATTAATAAGACGGCATTTTCTGAGGACCTGGCCCACCTCAATTTATATTTACATGTTTACCCAAAGCTAACAGACAATAAGAATACTGTTAAAGACTTTTTTTCTTATTAGCTGGGGGGTGGGCGTGGGGGACAGGATGATTGTTAGAAGTTCTATAAGAATGATTTATCCTTAAAACAAATCAAGAAAAAAAAAAACAAATCAAGAAAATTATTAAAGTTGTTCAAAGATAATTGAAATAATTTATGAACAATTAAAATTTTAAGCAATTACAATAATCCAACTTTTGATTTATTGTTGGACTAGATTAATAAAGAAACAATTAGTCCAAGTGGATAGTCAGTTTCAATGGCTGCATTAGGTCCGTGGTCACCACCCATACACCAAGGCATCAGAGAATCACCTGGAGGCCCTCTTAGCAGCTGCTCTCCAGGCCCCGCCCCGGGTGTTCATTGAGCTGTAGGCACAGTGGGTGCAACAGAGAAACGGAGGGCGGGGGGTCGCTACTCAGCGATCTTGCAACCAGCATCCTGCTTCATGGTTTGTAAGGAGGGTGACCAGCCCACCTGCCAGTCAGCTGGCAATCTCTTCAATACGCGTGTCTATATTTCAAGCCATAAGCTAGAATCAAAGCTATTGAAAAACAAACAAACTTACAATGCACTTGTCAAAGTTCCTTTTGACGGTCACCAGAACATTCCCCAAGGTCGTACTCAGGAAGGACGCGGGGTCCACGTTCTGCGCAGTCCAAACGTGATGGCTCATTTTGACGAGCATGTAAAGGGAGTTGAAGCTATCGATTTTGTCTCCTAAGGCGATCAGGTTGTTCAGTTCTGGCTCAATGCAGCGGAATATTTTAATCATCATTTGGCGGATCATATCTTTCCTGGTCAGAAAGCATACAAAATATAGAAAGCTCTTGCAAGCTTCAGGCACACACATCTTTCACATTAATCTACTTGCTTATTCAATATGGCGAACGCTTTAGCTTTCATGTGGCAAGTTTCTAAGTATGACGGGCCCATCGCTCAAGCATAACAGCTGTGAGGATGCTGCAGGACCGGCACACAGGTCTCGGGGACCGGTAACCGACTGCATGGCATATGACAACAACAGAAATACTCCACAGGTTTCAACCTACAGATCTAGTTCTGCAAACTCAGTTTGGCCGCTCAACGTAACTGATCATTTGTACAGATGGGTCCTGAGATGCGTCTTTTGGTATCTGAGAAATACACTGCAATTCAAAGGCTACCTTTCTTCCAAGCAAACATCAGAATTGATTGTGTTTGCATTTTTTCATGTGATCAGTGAATCAAAGAATGACTCAAGCACAGTTTTATGCAGGGCAGTAAAATGTTCAGTAAGACAACAGCTGTGCACGCTGGTGCTGTGTGGCTGGGTCAGACTGTCATCCATCCCCTTCGTGAGCAGCCCTCCTCTAGGCTCAACTGAAATCCCAGCCCCCCCCAGTAAGCCGCAGACAACAACCAGCACATACTCGGACGAGACAGGCAGAGGCATGCCAGAGTTATGCTGCCGAGAAAATGCTCCTCCATCCAGATCTTCGGCTTCACTCTGCAAAAGGGATTCAGGTTCTTTACATGATAAAAGACCAACAATTTGACCAGTTTAGAAAGTAAAAGCCTAGACAGTCTTAAAATTCCTAGGAGAAACTACATGATGAAAAAAAATCATGGTTTTAAAAAGTCGTATTGCTGATAAAGCTGTACAACGAAATAGGCTCTTTACGAATGTACAGCTAGAGGTCTAGTAACTTTCAGGAAAGAATAAAATATGGACAATACTCCATCAATAATTCTAATATGGAGAATTTCAGCATTAAGAAATGCTATCAAAACAAGCTCCTGGTGAGCTACCCACAATTGAGGAATAGGAGGGAAATAGCTACTAAACAAAGGGCATTAGACAGTTGACTACAGAAGATTAAGGGCATAAATCTGACCTGAACAGTTAAAACTTTGTCAGCAGATCCCCCTACATGCTGGACCTGATCTGGTATTCAAAATTTTCCATCTGTTTGGTTGGTATTGTTTGTTTATATTAGGGCACACTTCAGAATCGTTATGTCATTGGGGGTCACCTTCTTGAAGTTGTGTTATTTGTTTTTCTGTTTTTCAGAAACGCAGGATTGATGAACCAATAGAGGCGGCAAGTAAAATAAGGGTTTTGGGGTGGTGGTGGGGGTGGTGGTGACAGTGGTGGTGGTGGGGTGAAGGGGAGATGATGTCAAGGGGTCCATGTAGAAAAAGAATGTTTGGAAACGGATTGTGGTAGCAATTGTACAATTCTGCTAGATGTGATTGAACTATGGGATGATACATGTATTGAACTACGGGATGATACATGTATTATTCAATCCCAATTCAATCCCAATATGGGATGATACATGTATTATTCAATTCCAATTAATTTTTTTAAAAAGGAAAGAAAAACTGCTATCAAGAATCCTTACAGAGGCCAGTAAGTTAGCAAATTTAACAACAGTAACACAATCCTTTAATGTCCCCTTCACTCTATGGGTACTTAGAAAATATCTGCTTCCCGAGGTGTAACTTTTTGTGGTGACTTTAAAACTCACTCTACTTACATTATGTTTGTATGTTTTTCAAGGTATTCTGGCAAATCTAAGTTTATTCTTATGCTTCATTAGAGAAAGGAGGAAGAGGCATTTTTCCTATGCACTTTACAGATGAGAAAAACTGGGAACTAAATAATTGGCCTAAAGTCCCATATAGTTCGTTAAAAAGTCAACAAAGATTCAAACCTTTGGAGTTCTCACTAGATCAGTAGTTTTCAACCTTCCTAATGTTGCAACCCTTTAATACAGTTCCTCATGTTGTGGTGACCCCCAGCCATAAAATTATTTTCGTTGCTACTTCATAACTGTAAGTTTGCTACTGTTATGAATTGGGCAACCCCTGTGAAAGGGTTCGTTTGACCCCCACAGGGGTCACGACCCACAGGTTGAGAACCGCTGCTCTAGACCATCTTTTTGCTAGAGCATGGTGTACTCATTTGAAAACATTTTTAAATAAACTAATTATAATGTTTCATGGTAACTACTACCAAGTGAAAACTGCTATTTAAATAACAAGAGAACGTTAACGCGAGTTTAAAAGGCACCTGCAAAGAATCATGAGCATTAAGTAACGAGAGGTGCCAACATGCTCAGTTGATCAGCTACTTACACGAGTAATTACATGAGAAAAAAAGAACTTTACTACTCTTTGATACCAGGTTTTCTTTTATACCCAGGTTTTTCTTTTCTTTGCCTGCTACCAAGTTAGTAAAAGTTTAGGCTTAAGACATTATTGGATATCAAATTAGATCCCCAAACTCCAACGATCATTGTTTTTAATTATCTTTTGGCATGACAAAAATCTGCATGCTGGTCTTTCTTTTTGTTCTGATTTTGAAACTGGGATAATATAGTAATTACAATAGTAGTCAAAATAAATGTGAACCATACCATAGTTCCAGGCATACTTTGGTGTTGCTGTAGTTTGAAAAATTTACTTATAAAGTCTTGTTCCGCCAGACACAGGGGCTCCAGTTCACTTAGCACCTGTTCAAATATCTAAAGAAAGTCAAAAGGTCCTTGGGTGTGAGAACCGCACTCCGTGTTCAAGGGTAACGCTTGCATTTACTTCCCGTCCAACCTCAGAGGAGTTACAAGATGTACTTCTTGCAAGACTGACTGGTTGACGGACAAATACAGTTTTAACAAGGCTGAAAATGACTGGGAACATACTAAAACATTGTTATTGACTTTTAAATCTGGAAAGAGGTACACAAAGATAGACTTTTTAGACTTCTTTAGTGCAACGTTGCTAATTCCTCTTTGCGGTTGCTTAAAGACTTAAGATTTTAGTAGATGCCAACACTTTATGATTTACAACAAACAAATTTTAATAAGCATCTAGTGTGTCTATATGACCGGGAATGTACATTTTGGCTTACTAATATTCTTTTGGGATTTAGAGTTGGCAAGTTCCTGTTTAAGAGTGCCAACAGAACCCGAGGCTTCCGACACGTTTACACAGAGCAGCAACAAACTGCTACCAGACAGAAAATGCATCCGACTGTCCAAGCACACGTGGGTGGCTTAATTTTACCTTATCAAATTTGGTTCTGTCGGCGACATCGAGATCGGAGGCGGACATGTTTCCCATATCCAACAAGGAAGATGACTGAGATCTGCGGTTCCCTGAGCTCTGAACACTGAGCTTATTCAGACTAGAAGTAGATCCAGTTAGTTTCCCAGAGCTTCCATGAAGACCTAAGAAACAATCAAACTTTCAAAGTTGTGACCTCCAGGAATAAAAGCGTCCTCGCCTAGGTCAGGGGCTCTCTTCCTTGGTCCTGGACTCCCAGCGCCTGATGCCACACTGTGTTACAGTGCCCTCTACTGCCATTACCATCTGCGTCCTACTGCTCAGCAATTGTACACACAGCAAAAACTGCAGAGATTCATTGACTAAGGCTGAAAGGGACCTAGGAGAGCCTACGCAGGCCCATTCACATGATAAAAGTAAAGCTGCCTGATACTCTCTCCAGCCTGAAGTAGACCAGGATTTCTTTTTCATTCAAAAGACAAGAGTGTGAGACTTCTTGTGTACAGACTTCTGAGTGTACAAATGAGTATTACTTGGTTCTATTTCTGAAGAAAATTGTCACATCCCCCAATGACTTGTCTCCACCTTAAATCAATAATACTAGGTGTAGTCATATGAAACTGACACTCCTTGATCATTCTTGACCCTTGGACAAGCCAATTACATATGGTTCAAACTACAATTCTTCAAATACTAAAAGAAGAGAAAAAAACGCCCTGGCAACTTCTTATATTTAAACTACAACTAAAATGCAATGGACCCATCACCAACCATTAGTCTGGGGCACCTGTGTTTGGGTCTAATCCATCACAGCCATGAGGAAATATGGGGACAACATGGCAAGATGCTATGCTACGTATGTCAAGGAGCTAAAAGATTCCATTTTTACACCCCAAAAGTTGATGTTCCCATTCAGAATAAAACAAACAGGAAGTAAAATCATTTGGAATCTCCCTGGGTCGCTCTCAGTGAGCCTACAGTACTGCTGATGGTCAGAGAAGGCACAGGTTATGCTGACACAATAGACAAACTAAAGGCAAACTTCAAGTCGGTTGCGTAAAATCTGACCATCTCGCTAAGAATTTTATGAGTTTTAAAACATTGCCTGAAAATAGAAGTAAAATGGTTAAGCCTTGTCATCCAGTTCTGACACAGCGTCCTACCACTGGGCCTATAGTTTAACTGCAGTGCGTATTTCTTGGGTATAGGTATACCATAGGCCATCACGTTGGCACTCTTTCGCCAGCACCTAGACACTCAGAGCAATCGGTATTTGGAGTCTCGCCTTTTCTCAAGACAAAGGACACATCTCGACACACTGAACAAGTACACATGCATTGAGAATACCGACGAGTACACCAAGCATACTCACTCTCTGCTTCCTGTTTGACAGCACTCTCTTTTCGAGGCAGTGTAGCTGCGATGGATTAGGTTGCAAGCATCAAAGACAAAGACAAGTTAATAAACTGCATTTTGCACAAACCATGCACAAGAGGAAGTTAAGCTCTAGTTTAAAAGACACATGCAAGAACCACGAGCATCGAGTAATGAGAGGTGGAAACACGTGTTTAGTTGGCCAGCTACTGTTGGAGAAATTCTGAGAAAAAACCCTACCAGGCTTTTCATGAATTGTTTTTATGTGTCCAGGTAAAATGTCTAGGTTTATTATCTTGTCCCCTCCCCACACAGTTAAATCACTCTTATTTTTTTAAGTTGACCAAGGCAGTGCGCTTAAATTTAAACGACTATTGAAATTTGTAGCTTCTTGAGAAAATATAGTTTGTCAGTATATTTAATACAGTATAAATTCAGGATGAAGCTGCAGATTTACACAATTAATGCATTGATGGCCTCACATTCTGGAAAGGTCCTGAAATGAATCTCCACTGTACCAAATAATTTTATATTATATATGATAAAATAGTTATGTCAACAGGGCTTTAAAACCATTTAAAAATTAAATATCCAGTTTAATTACTCAGTAACTACTTATTAAACACCAGGCATGAAAGGTATGCATCATATAACCAATTATCAAGAGATGGGTGAATGGGAGAGTAAAATTAAAGGAGCTAGTGTAATAAAGGTATAAAAAAAATCTGAGCAAATTTAGGGTCATTTGGCATTTCTTTTATTCTAAAACTTCTCTACATATTTATTAGATCAAATTTGGGTTATCGTATGAAGTACTCTAAGCTCAAACTGGAGTTAATGTCAAAGAAGACAATCAGAATGAATGAAGCAGAAAATTAAAGAACACTGTAAGTTAGCCTAAAAACATTTTTAAAACAGAAGGATATGTCAACTGACACTGCCCCTGAAATATAAAACCAAAGGCCAAAGTCAAAGAATAAACTACGTGTCACACTAGAGAGATGTGTACCTTCCCATCCTCAGCCAACTCAAGCTCCAGGGAATACTCTTAGTGGCAAACAGAGATCTTGGCTAGCTACCAGCTAGCCATCTGAGCAGTATCTTCAATTGGCCTCAAGCTGCTGCTAAGCTATAGTCAGCATGCTGCCTCAAGATTTGGGGAAAACTACTAATCCCCTGCAATCTGCATTGATACACCCTTCCTTGCTGAAAGTAAAGAGCCTTGAAACTCTAGTTGATGAAGACTAATGACTTCACCTTAATATAAAGAAAATAAAAATCCTCACAACTGGACCAATAAACATTATGATATTGAAAAAAATATTGAGGTTATCACAGGTTACATTTTACTTGGATCCACAATCAATGTCCATAGAAGTAGCAGCCCCAAATCAAATGATGTATTGGTCTGGGCAAATCTGCTGCAAAAGACCTCTTTAAAGTATTAAAGAGGCAAAGATGTCACTCGAGACTCAAGCCATGGTATTTTCAATTGTCTCAATGCATGAAAAGGCTGAATAACCAATAAGGAAGACTGAAGACAAATTAAAGACCTTGAATATGGTACTGGCAAAGAATATTAAAAATACCATGGACACCCACAAGAACAAACCAGTCAATCTTGGAAGACGTAGAGCCAGAATGTTCCTTAGAAGCAAGGATGGTGAGACTTCATCCTATGGCATGTTTTCAGGAGGGACCAGTTTCTGGAGAAGTGGACCATTGCTGAGCTGAGGGTCAGCGAGAAAGACAAAGACCCTTGAGATGGACTCACACAGTGGCTGCAACAATGGTCTTAACACAGCAACAACTGTGGGGATGGTGTAGGACCAGGCGGTCTTTCGTTCTGTTGGTACACAGGGTTGCTGTGAGTTGGAACCAACTCGATGATACCGAACGGCAACAGTGCTAGGTTCTCCAGTTTCAGAGCAAAGCTTCATGCTTCATGGACCCACTACCAACTGCCATCAAGTTGATTCTGACGCATAGTGGCCCTAAATAGGGTTTCTCAGGTTGTAAATCTTTATGGACTACTAGGGCTCCTTTGTGAAGTTGCCAATAAAGACTCAGGTACGAGTAAAAACAAAACAAAACAAAAAACCAGAAACAGAAACAAATTCCACTGCTGTCAAATTGATGCTGACTCACAGAAACTCTGTAGCACCTCAGGAACTGCCTCCACGTTTCCCACGGAAGGAAGGGACCTTCAAGAAAGCACGCTGCCAAGTCTGTCTGTCTGTCTCACGTCATGGCTTATGGGTTCAAAGAGCCAACCATTCAGTTAGAACCTGGGTGTTTAACCACTACGCTACCAGGACTCCTTCTGATACTAGCGGTGTTGTTATACTAGGTGCCAATAAGTTGTACAGCCCAACAAGAGGAACTAACTTTTTTTTAAATTTAACTCTCTGAATTCTGTTTATTGTTTAATTCTTTTCTTATAGCTAATGATATAAAATAATGAGCTGTAATTTTCTTGACTATCAATTATCACAAATTACTTTCCTATTCTTTATTTCATTTAATAGATACATAGAAGAGATGAAATTTTTACTGTTAAAATTACAAAACTACCCTTTAAATGTATTTATGTTAATTGAAGTATTTAGAAGATAATTAAAAAACTTAAGGAGAAAAAAAAAACTATGTGCTTGAAAGACTAGTGCAATGATACTATGAAGACATCATTATACTTAAATTGTATTTGTGTTTTTAATCATTTATCTCAATGTGTACCTTAGGCTTGGGAAACTATTATGTTACTGGGGTTTATGACCTGCTTGGGGTGGGGGGGGGATTTTAGAAAAATTTCTCTTTTACTTTTACTTTTCATACACGGAAGAGGAGTTTTCCTACAATAAAATGGTTCACTAAAAAGTGGTGACAAATATACTTAATGAAAACATTAAACATGTAACTATACCAATAAATATGCTATTCACTTAAAAAAAGAAAAGCATAACATACCCACAGTGAAAACAGTCACAAGGCTAAAAACACACTGCTGTTTAGGGACATTAACCTTTAGGATGAGTTAGCATTTCTGTTTCCAACAGCCTACTGTCCCAAGATTCTTAATCAGCATCTTCGTCAAAGTGTAGCACACTTGAATCTATATGTACAATCAACACAGCTCAGGTCACGGTTTTTAATAACTGTGAATCACAAAATAACTTTGTAGTAAAGATGGCCTTCTCTGCCCTAAAGCAAAGGGGTGGGAAATGTGTGCTCTCCATTTGGAGTCCTGTCCCCGGATCAGAGAAGCGGCTTTACTTAGGGCATAGGCTCCTTTCAACAGGCAAATGCTAAACTCATTCTTCTAAAGGGGAGGGATGCAGACACACTCGGAGGACATGTCATAGCCCTTGAAGGCCAGGTTTTGTCCAGAATAAGCACAGAACTCCATCCAAATGGAACTCCAGGGATGGGTACATGCAAGAGCAGAATGTGGCCTCGGCAAACCACCATCCTCACAACTTGATACTTTCACTGGCTATCTTGTCAAAGAAGATTTTTATTTTTTGGTCCATTGAACATATTTAGAAGGTTAAAAACCAAAAAAGCTTTAAAAATCTCTCTTTGGAAAAACAGGGATGATCAGAGGAGAAATTTTGGTGACATCAGTTTAGTTCCTTTTAAGGGAGAAAAGACAGAAAAGCATTCTTGATTCAAAATAGCCAGTGAGAAGTACGGAGAAGCCAGGAGTCACTTTCATGTCCCTGCAGAGCAATGACTTGGAGGCCAGTGACTTGGCCTCAACTTGTCCGAAAAGTTCCTTCAGGGACTTAGAAACTGAGCTCTCAGCATGTCTCTTATGCTGACAAGTTCTCCACAGCTGCACCTCGTTGTCTGCTCAACTGACTTTCCTAGATAGACGTGTGCACTACAGTGTGAACACAACTGCAGACGGGTCAGAGCCCTAGACGGCAGAATTCTAACTGGTAAGAAACCTATTTGCAGATAGATGGGACATCTGTTCTATGAGAAGCACCTAAGCAGTAAACCGATGTAGTCAGATCTAGGCTCTCATTGATTCTACTGTACCTTCTTCCACCTTAGACTTCTCTTCCCTCAGGTGGCAGATCAGTCAGCGCTCAATACGAAGAGGACAACGGGCTGAGGTGCCCGGGCTTACCAAACTTCTTGCTTTCTTTGGTTGTCCCTGTCATCTTGATCTTTGCAACTTCAAAAAAATCTTTGATTTCTCGCTCATACAGTCGTGATAAATAATCCATGTAATTCTTAAAATAAAACATGTACTTCTTATTAATCAAGCAAGGAACCATTTTCATTTTTTTCAATTCCCCCCACCCCCCTAAGTCCTTCAGGCTTGCTTTGAATTTTACAATCTGAAGTTCTGAAGCATTTTTTAGGACACAGACTATTTCCTGTCTTTAAAAAAAAGAAAGAAAAGAAAAATTGGCATCATACAGTAACAACCATGTACAAAAATCAGAAATCAAACATCATCCCGGTTGCGCTTCCATGTTTCCGTATTACCTGTCGCACCTTGGAAACGCACTGCTCAGGCTATCTGAGTCGGAGCTACTTCTGCACCCATGGTGCAGATGTTTCTCCAGTCTCCACACTTTGCGTTACGCTTGTGCTGTATTTTGTCTTCCTGATGTGCCACAATTTAGTAACTCAAACTCTTAACGCAGGACAGTGAAGCTGTTTCAGTATTTTACTACAGTAGACCATTCTACAATAAGCTGTTTGTCTCTGATGTACTGTTGCCTTGGAAAAGTTCCTAAGAGTGGAATTCCAGTGCCAAAGAGGATGAGGGTCTTTCTGATTCTGTACGCTTTTGCTCTGAAGATGGTCATGCAGATATCCCGGGTCAGGCAACCAGGGAATGCATTCAGTTTCACTGACCTCTTATCGGCATGGGTATTACCCCTGGACGGGTTACTTTCAGTTAAGAATTTAATTACTATGATCTACAACTTTCAAAATGAAATAATCCATTCTCTTGAAATACACGCAATTCAGTTTAACTAAAATGAAAACATCTATTAT